ATCTGAATTATTTTCGATATCTCGTACAACAAAAAATAAAACGTCTGCAATTATTTTGTTAAAACAAGCAGAAAGTTCTTTGAATCATTTAAATCGGACACTTAGTTCTCTCAAAAACTGCCATTTTTGCACATTTAGCTCTGTATTTCCGAAACCGCTGGACCTTTGCCAAAAACTAATCAACACTTCTCCCCATCATTACGAATTGAATGTTTTTTGGATCATTCAAATCGGATGCTCCGATATCTCAAAAACTCCATTTCTATTTTCTGCACTCTTTGCTCCGTATCTCCGAAACGGCTGGACCTGCATTTGCCAAAAACTAAGCAGCACATCTCCCTATCAATGGAAACCGAATGTTTTTTGAACCATTCAAATCGATTGATTCGTGCGCCCAAAAACGTGGACGAAAAATTTTATCCAAACATACATACACACACACATCCATTTTTTTTTTAGGTATGCCAAAATGTTCAGAAACCTTCAAAACGTGAAGAAATGTAAAAATTTACAATTTCGATTTTTGGACGATTACAATAACTTACTCTACGGGAAATTAATTATTAGTGTATTTCTATAAAGCTACCAAAACTCTAAAAATTAAGGTGACCATTTTTTTTTATTCAAAACCGGTACAGCAATTTTTAGTTATGCTAATCCGTCCTTAAAATAACAAATGCTATTTAAGGATACAATAAAAAAAGTTTTTTATATGAATCTTTTTTTTAATCAAAATTGGGGACTTTTATTTAAATATGTTTTTTTTGGTTTGAGCCTTGTATAAAATTCTATTCAATTTTTTCATAATTAATTTGAAAAAATTAGTACTTGTTCGTGTGGTTTCATAATATTTGGTAATATTAATTAGAAAAACCGGGACGACCCGGGATAAAAGCTCTAAATCCGGGACAAAGATTGCTTTTCCGGAACTGTCCCGGACAAACCAGGATGTATGGTCATCTTATAAAAATGCATTATTTAGAAAAAAATTAATCAAAACTGCAATTAACTTCTGCTTTAGATAGAATAACACTGTTGAATAGAAGTAAAAATAAACTCTTACATAAAAAATTAAAAACTAGAAATGATATTACATTTTGTAAGTAATAAAGTGTTAACTCTGATCTTTCAAAATTTTTTTGAATTTGACAGCGAATAGAATTTAGGCTATCTAGTTGGGTTTATATATTGCTATTGGTGTCCTGATGTACCTTGCAAAATTTTCGTTTGAATCTTATATATTATGCTAATGTTAATTTTACTCACACAATTTCAATTTTTACCACAATATTTATTATAAATAGAAAAAAAACTTTATACATATGTTATTATGTACTTAATCATCATTTCGCAATATGCATAATTCTAATCATTGACAATGGGCGTAAAATATTATTGTTATCTCGCCTAATAACCTTGATCTTCATTCTCTCACAATGATAGTTCAGATTTATTTTATCATGGGAAACATAATTATGCATCATGAGTAATGTAAATAAATATTACTTAAATTTTTAAACCTTGTTCATACGCAAATAAAAATATTTTTTTATATTTGAGAACATGTTTGGTATTCAGGTATATCTGTGTTAAAAATGTTTGGAAAATTTCTTCGCCTTTATATGAATGAAAGGATTATAAAAGATTTGTTCAAATCTCAAGTGGGTGCTGTAAAGTCTCTTTGTTATGAACTTGAAGGGTTTTTCTATTGGAAACCATAAACAGATTCTAAAAATTTGCGGTATTTAAAATAAACTTGTCAAACACATTTATAGATTAGTTCATAGGACTATGTGTTAAAAATTGTCAATTCGAAAAGAAATTAAATTATATGAAAAAAGGATATAAAAATAGTAGGCAAATATTAATGCAATTTAAGCATATTAATTATTGAATTAAAATTTATTTATATATTTTGTTAATAACAACATGACGAATTTTCTACTTCTAATGATGGTGATGGTAGCTAGTTCCAGGCGCAAAAATTTTAGTTTAATGTGATGAACAATATGATATGAATCATTTAATAAATTTTTCCAAATATTTTTCATTTCTGATTGTGAGTGTATTAATATGAATTACAATACTGGGATGAGACATTTAGTAAAATGCAAAAAATGAAAATAAAAATCGGCGGATGTGGTAACTTATTTTTTCTGAATCATTGAACATTTGCCAGGAGCATCAGAATTCTTATAATTTAACGACATCAAAGTGCAAAGCCTTTTATTGATTCATTTTGCGGTTGCATTTAGTTAAAAATAAAACTGCAAATCATGAATTTCGAAGAGTATGGATTTACAAAATAAATCAAATTTGATTTGTAATGTGCGTATATTTAGTTCGTGACCAAGTATAAAAAATACATCAACCGCAAATTATCAACAATTTTTTATGCTGACATATCCGCATAAAAGTACATAGCAATTTTGGGAAATTTTATGTAATTCATAACACTCATAGAATATTTATTTTATTCTAATAGTTATAGATAAAATTTATATTGAACAAACATTTTCTTATACAAATACGCTTTACTTTTGCAAATCAATTTTACAATTACAAATCGATCTATTACCATTCTCCTATTTCCTCCCTGTTGCCTCAATTTAATTTCAATTAACAAAATCCCGAGAATTCCCAGATCCTGTCCAGGATCAACAATGGAAACTACGTCCTTATTTATCACTGCTATTTGTTAACAGTAAACCCTTAAAATCCTTTGCTAATACACCACTAAGTTCTCCCAAAGGATTAACAGGTTGATTGTTTGTTTTTGACCTGCTCACCGCAAAATCGATTAGTGGCGTATTTTTACCTGCCGAAATTTACAGGACACTCGAAATATATTTCAAACTAAATAAGTTATAATAGTAAGTAATTATTATGAAAATTGCCATCTGATTTGTAGGTGTCTATTTAGAGAAACCCTGCCAGAGTCATGAAAAACCAGAATTTTTTCAATTTTTATCTATGATGATGTTTATTATATCTATATCAAAACAATGTCCATTTACATTAACGACTATCAACATTGTTGTTTAATTATGTTTACCTGTTTTGAAACAAATTTTACGTGGGTAACAGATAATTCAATCATCGTGGAAACCCCGATTGACAAGGGAATAAAAATCCACAATCGAGTTTCTCCGTTTGGGATTTTTCGATTGCAAAATCTCACGCATAGACCAGAAAATTCTTTCGGGTTTTCGCATAAATATTGAAACTGGTATGAATCCTACGCTTAACAATATTTTTTAATGTTTATAAATATGTATTGATGCTTTTTTTTGAGTTATGTGGAAAATATTACGAGATTATTTTCCATTTTCATAAATGTTATGTCATTGTTGTATGTGAGATTTCAGATGTAAAGCCCTGTTGTTACTTAACGGCAATATTAATTTATTTTTAGATAACTTTTTATTCAAATAATAACTTGTATTATTATATGAAAATATTCAGTAATTGTTTTATTAACCTAATATTTGTTTTAATTAATTGTGAAATTAAGACTATCATACTGCTACTTGATATCTGACTCAGTAATTAAATTACATTCAGTATTTTTTTTGTAAATTTAACAGATTGCTATTAGAAGGCAACTGAATATCTATTTTTACTAGTTATAAAATTTATACCATATATGACTGCTGTTTGATATCAAGCTGGCTCAGTAGGTATCAGTTTGATATCTTAGCCAGTTGTTTTATAATTTTATCATTATCAGAGTCAAAATTAAAGTTAATTATATAAAGAATTTTTAATCTTGAAAATTTTTAAGATTTTTTTATAATTTTTTTTATATATATATATATATATATATATATATATATATATATACATTATTTTCATATCTCAGCCAGACAGAAGTGCCTGGTATGAGAGATTATGAAAACAGTTTACATAATTTCATTTGACTATATCATTAATATAATATCTATTATAAGTTTATCTATTAGTCTTATTTTAAAATAATACTGAAGAAATTTGCAAGTACAAAAAAAAACATGTCGAAATTTTATTTTTACTGGTATAATAATACACAAACAAAAGGAAAAAACGCAGAATCAGTTACAGAAAAATAAATTCGGAATTTTAGCGTTTCTGTGTACTCGCAGCAGTAAACATCAATAACTCGATATATTTTCAATTATAATTTTTGATAAATGTTTATTAAAAAAAACGGTTTCAAAAAAAAAGTAAATTTTGTCAATTTTCTTCTTCAATTTTTGTCAACTAAACAAGTGCATAAATAGATTTTTTTAAATAGTTCCTGATGATGAGACATTCCATATCCCCAAACGTGGAAATTATTTGTAAATATATTTTTTTTTCTCTAGTGAAGAGAGGGTGGTTTTTAGTCATACAATTAAAATCTGAAATAATAGCCAGAATATTATTATTTCGTTTATTAACTTCCAGTAAGGTAAGTTATATTATTCGCAAAAAATCGAAAATGAAAAGTTTTATATATCTTTACGTTTCAAGGGTTTCTGAGCATTTCGGAATACCTTAGAAAAAATAAATTCATATATGTGTGTGTGTGCGGATACAAATTTTCGTCGACGTTTTCAGAAACACGGATCAACCGATTTGAATATTTCCACAAATATTCGTTTCGTCAGGGAGATGTGCTGATTAGTTTTCGAAGATACGGGGCAAAAAGGTCCAAAAATGGTAAATCGAGAGAAGGGAGTTTTTTTATTTTAATTTTCAGTACGGGAAGTACCAGTATTTTGCCTTAAGGCACGATGCCATGCACCACTACTTTTTTTTATCAATTTAATCATGTCTCTCGCTCCTTTACAAGGGCTCCACGCTACCTGCCCATCGGTTTCTACCTGTGCGGGGCAATTTCGACTCGTGTTATGATATGACAGGCATATGTCTGATGTCTGAGGTCAGCCGGCGTCTCTTTCTTGTGATGCCCCCTCCAACTTCATAAATACGTTTTGACATAAAAACCAATAACATCATTGTATAGTTAGTCACTTTGAAATAATCGTTAGGAAAGTGTCGAAGCGTGCGTTTTCACAAAACGATGTGACATGTAAACAAAACGAAATTTAATTAACCATATAAATGAATTTTGAAGTTAATGATTATTTGTTTATCAAGTGACTTTTATTTGACGTCTGTGTTGTGATTTAAAAGCAGTGTGAGTGACACTTGGTAACTGAAGTGCATTTTTGCAGCAAGTGGGAAAGCATCATGTTTGCGAATTTAAATGCAGGAATGGCGCCGTTGATTTTATTTGGATTCTTAGCGATGATGGTTTGTATTTTGTATTATATTTTGGGTCGTGTACGTGATAAAAATTCTGGGTTATGTTATTGTCTTTTCAATATGTCTTTGTATTCAAAAACTTTCTTTAAAGAACATTGAAATATCGATATTTAACACGTTAATTGCCATGTCAGTCGGTTGTGCCTGATGTCACATCACAAAGAATGGACAACCATTGGGTTGTCTTTTAATAATAACAGATTGTCATTTAAATATACCCATAGAATAACTCTGATTGCAGTTATAAAATTGCTACAAAATTTTGTATAAATATGGCAAAACTTGCATCTTTAGTATCATTGCTAAAAATGATGCAATTGCAACCAATTATCGTGGCAATCAACGTGTTCAAATCAAAGATTGATATATATATATATATATATATATACATATATGTATGCAGGGCCGGTCCTACATTGAATGCGATGCATGCAAAAAATGCGGGTGCACGCCTTAGGGGGCGCCAAAACGAGATTCGGAAATGAAATTTATAATATTTATATGTTTTTTAAATACTAAATCAATAACACTTAATAGATTATAATAAGCAATCTAACTTAACTATGATTACGGAGACACAGAAGCATATTTAGCTTATATATGTATGATGTACATATGTATGTATATTTAAATTATTTGTTAAGTATAACAAAAACGATGCAAAAAGTTACACAAAAAATCTAAATTGTGTCAATTATGTCCAACGTATCTATAAAATTTACTCGTTTTAATTCATATTATTTTGATGTGAATTTGTTTATTACTGTAAAATATATTGATAAAAAAATCCTGGTAGTTACCATACATCTTCCATAATAGCATGATTAAAAAATAAGCAATCAATATACCTTAGTCGTTTTATTTTGCTTTCATATCACATCACTATTAGAAATACCAAATAATAATCTCATCTCAAAGAGGATGGATAGCCAATGTGTTGCTTTGTAATATCACCAGATTTATTCAAATTAATGCACATAATAGTTCTGATTGCAATTAAAAAAAATTTTCAAAATTTTGTATACATAGGATGAAAATTCTTCTTCAGTATCAATCTGCCCTAGTCGTTACAATTAGGATTGCATATTTAATTTTTTGTACCTATCAATATTAATAATGAATATAATTTCGGGCTCTGCATATACAAAATTATATCATTTACTTCCAAAATTAAAATTTGATTCTGGTAGCTAATTTTTTACTCTTCATTATGTTCCCAAGAAGCACCTGATCCCTAATTTTAATATTACTATCGTTTTCTCGTCCTTACTTCAGCGATCATTTCGGTTAATTAGCCATCCATCAATTAATATTCGTTACTTTGTTAATTTTTATATATGGAAATATCAATTAAATATCTATCATTACCATACAACTCGGAACTTCCTGTTATTGTGCGAAGTTTGCTCGTTGTGCTTTGTTTGCTCGTTGGCTTTGCCTATATCGTGTGGAATGTATTGATTGCATAATCGATAAGACGAGGATGTTCATATGACGAGGATGAATAATTTATACAATAATACACAGTACAATGTTTGTGGATAAACGATTTTTAAATCGAGAAGTTATGGAACGGAATTAGGTATTAATTTGTTGGAGGAGCTCCTCCAAGGGCTTATGGTTTCTGGCTTGATACTCGCTCTGGGCAGCCTGATGGCAAACGGAGGAGACATCAGTTTTTACTTTGAAAGGTAGATAGCAATATGTTTACTGGTAAAAATATCCCTTTTTTATTTAATTTATTTTGCAATCTGTTTTACATGAGCATTAACATTAAGCAGAGATTGCTAACAATAATTATCTTATACTATAAACCAGAAAATAGTAGCAACACCCAGCGGCGTGTCTACTAAGTATAGTTAAAATATCCCTTGTCTGGTATTTTTGTATCAATAAAAAATTCATCAGTATTGCAGAAATTGCGATAATAAATTCATCACCTAGAGACACCCAAACGGAGGATTCATCATCAACCGTTTGGATTGCCATCTAAAAAATCCAAGTCCTATAAGTACATCACAACATTTTATAGTACTTGTTAAGTTTAGATAGATATTAATAATAAAACAAGTAAAATTAGCTTAAAAATTGGATTGAACAACTTTTTCAAAACTTGTCCCAAATTTTGTGTCCCACGTGTCCCAGGTGACAATTTATGTATCTATTCCAAAAGGGCTTTTAAATTAAAAACGAAAATTAATGTGTCACATAGTGATTAGCGTTGGACTGTTGGCGCCAGTCTGCACTAAATCTGCATAAGATTCCGTTCGATTATATAAAACGACTACCGTTCGTATGGACGAGATCAAAGATCCGCACACACCTGTTTCAACAGGTAGAATGCACTTTGAATGACACAGGTTCTCAAAACCACTAATGGAATTAAAATATTAAATGATATTCTATTTAATATAAAAACTTGAAAAATCTAATTGTGAAGAAATTGAATATTTGGCTCGGCTTATTACTGTTATCCATGAAAGTCGTTTATCAGTTTCATTATTAGTGGTTTCATATTTATTATGAAATTAATGTGTAAAATGGTTTTTCAAATTGAAATGCTTGCAATATCGATCGTATTGCAATATTTTTATTAATAGAATTATTCATAAAATATAATGAATTTATGCACATTATTGAACAATCTAACACACGTAGTAACATATATCAACGAATTAAAGCAATTTAATTTTAAATACTAAGTATTTTTGGGTACATATATACTCGTATACATATATATACGTAAAAGTATTATATTCATGACCGAAAATTTAATGTGATTATCCTAAACTGTTTAAGTTAGGTAATTATTTGAAAGTAGTCAGTATTATTCTTAAATTTTTACATCTCTTATTTGCTATGATTTTCTAGTAATTAACTTGCATTTGCACGTCAAATATATTAGCGTTTTGGTTTTATTTATTTTTAGAATTTTTAGAATTGTAGAAAGTCTTATGCTCACATTTTTTTTAGCAATCAGTAAATACATTTCATTTAATTGAATTAAGTAATATACTTTGCAATATTAAATTTTGTTTACATTCTACTAGTGTTAATAAATATAGTTATTACTAAATTTAATCAGTCAAATATTTGTCATTTTAATTATCCAGGAAATCTTAACGATATAATTTATCCATGACATCACCTGTTTTAAATACAATAATCCAGCTATTACATGTCGGAATGCGTTACAAAAATATATAAAAATCAAATGACTACATAATTAAAAAAAAACAGTCAAATGGCATTTTTTAGATGCATTTATCAGACATGATTCAGTAAATCAAAAATTCATATATTCTTTCGGGCACGTGCGTCCATTCGACCGATCAAATTTAAATCTGACGTAATGATATGCGAAGACATTGTGTCTAAAACACAATCGGACGCTTTCTTACATAAAATTAAATAGATGACTTAAATAAATATTTCAACAGTAAATTCTATGAGCTTTTCAGAATTCATATGAATTTTGTTCATATGATATGTGTGTTTAGTGCAAATATAGCGAAATGTATTCCACGCGTTCAACGTTATCACCATGAAATGCGATATTGTTGATAAAAAATGAATTTTTTAAAAGCATTTTTGCATTTTGGTCATGATTATGATTTATAATCGTATTAAACTATCAGTTCTTGTTGACTTAAAATACTTCATATCAATCTCGTCACAGAACATTTTTTGAAAAATTAAAAAATATAAACAGGATTAAAATTTTTAAGATATTTCTTAACTCCACAAATAGAAGAAGATGTTTGTGTTTGCAAAAAAATCGATTATCTATTTCTATGTTTTCTCGACGTTTTACAAGTAATTTTGATTTATTTAACATCAATTGTTAAAATTAACTTTATATAAAAATTCAATCTAAGTTAGTTGTAAAATATTATAAATAATGTGGCAAGATTTGTTAGTGCCTATATATATATTTATATATATATATTTATATATTTTTATTTTTCATTTACTGACCTAGATTTGATTTGAATAAATTGAATAAAGTCAATACTTAAATTATTCAATCAATTATCATACAATATGATGTAAATAATTTTGCAGACATATATAATTATTTCTTCATTAACTTCTTCTATATTGAATAGAAAATGAGTCGTATTTAGAATAAACGTTCTTCATAAATATTAAAATGGTGAAAATGAGATTATGGACTTTTGCTTTATATAAACAATTGAGTAAGAAATCTGAAATTAATTTATATTGAGTGAAATAAATATTATTATTAACTAAATATTTTACTTTTTCATGTAGTTTTTATGATAAAAATATTAGTTGAAGTCGTTGAGTTTATTATTTGTGTAGGTGCGTGCGTCAGTAAATATAGTTTGAACCTATATTTTAAAATTATCTTTTTTTATAAAGAATCTGCATATTGGCCATTTGTTTGCGAACGTTTTTTATGACGTGCATTCCAAACGAGATAATAAATTTGACGTAAATACCTTCACAATTTGTTCTATAGAAAGAAAAGTACACTGAGGGTTCAACAAAAACAAAATCGTATACATGAAAGTATTTATTTCAACCGTAGTTGAAATACTATTGTATGCAATTTTCATAGCTTCTATAATACTAATTTTTGATCATTAAAATCATAATATTTCTATCACAGCTTATTACAATTATTATCCTTCTTACGTGCATAGCCTTTGACTATAAAATTCCTTTACCTTTATGTAATTTATTACATTTTATTCCAGTATAGTTCTAAAACTGGATTGTATATCATCTTGAAGTTGCTCAAAGTGTTCCTTAAGACCAGCCTCTCCTTCTTTGACAGGATCCTTAAATTTCATAGAACTCAATCTATATAAAATCTGACTCATTGATTCCCTAATAGCATTCCAAGTAATTTTATTATCACACTGAGCCGTACTTTCCACTGTCTGTCTTGCCAAATCGTAAAAACTGATCATATTCCTCAACATGCCCACAGTTTTATAAAAAGGACAAAATCTGTCGTA